TTTTTTTTAAAGAATTATTTTATTTAACTTTATTTATTATTATTATCATTATTATTTTCCAGTTTGATCAGAGAGACACACAGAGAGAGAGGAAGTGAGAAAGCAAGCCACCAGGTCCGAGACTTGAACCGTGGTCGGCCATGTGGGAGTCCAGCGCCTTTAACCACCATGCCACTTGCCGGCCCCATATTGTTTTCTTAAATAATGAATTAAATTTTTATGTGTTAATTTCTAATTCTGCAACTATCCATAATCTAATTTACATAAACAAAAATTCTTTGGGATCTTCAACTGGTTTTTGTTTATTTGTTTGTTTGTGTGTGTTTGCTATATGCTTGGAGCGTATGCGCCAAAAAGAGGGAAAGAATCTCCCCCAGGGGGTTGGCCAGGCTGCCTTCCCTACTTCTCTGTTCTCTCAGGATTTGGGGCACACACACATGCCTGGCGTGTTTTTCTTTTTCTTTTTTCTTTTTTCTTTTCTTTTCTTTTTTTTTTTTTTTTGAGAGATTTTTGCTATAGGGCATGTGTACTTGCCAGAAGGACAGAGAGACAGGGGAACAGAAAGTGAGAAGTCACCCCCCAGGGGTAGAGCCACGCCGCAGTCCCTTCTCCATTCTCCTCTCGGGATCCTGGGCACGCACGCACACGTGCCCGGTATGAGTTTAAGCCACCAGGTTCAGGACTCGAACCGCGGTCAGCTACATGGGAGTTCAGCGACATAGCCATTATGCTACCTGCTGGTCCCCGCCTGGCATGTTTTTCAAGCCGCACTCAAACTGCTCAGTTAGCCACGTAGGGTCCAGTCACCTTAATTGCCACTCCACCTCTTAGTCCTGTCTTTAAGCACCTAAAGAGTGTCGGGGCCAAAGAGTGTAAGAACGCAGTCCTTCAGGCACCAGCTCATGGTGTCGTCTTTCTCCACTTGTGTGGGCTCCTCTGCCATTGCTGGGTCGATCTGCATCTCTGAGAGCAGTTTCTCATCTATCAGTTAAATTCCCATGCTCACGTGCAGCTTTTCAGTGTTCCAGCATGTCTGACAAGTGTGTTGCCTGCCCTTTGACATTGGTGTGTGTCTCCTGGTTTGTAGAGATCCCGCAGACGTGTCTTCAGAGAGCGACAGCGCCATGACCTCCAGCACCGTGAGCAAGCTTGCTGAAGCCCGGAGGACAACGTACCTCTCAGGACGATGGGTCTGTGATGACCACAACGGAGACACCAGCATTAGCATCACAGGGCCTTGGATTAGCCTCCCTAACAACGGGGACTACTCAGCCTACTATAACTGGGTGGAAGAGAAGAAAACGACGCAGGGGCCTGGTGAGAGACAAAATGCTTGAGAATGTATATGCATATATGTCTTGTCTTTTGAAAACTGAGGTAAAATTGACATTACCAGATGAACAGTTTTAAAGTAGACTGTGTCGTTTAGTACATTGACAGTATTGTGCAGTCGTCACCTCTACGTAGTTTTCGTTCTTAGTGTTTTTAAGTTTATGTTATTTCTTCGATGAGAGAGGAAGAGGGAGGGAGGCCAACTCCTTCCCTCCCTTACCCCATCGTGATCCCCTTCTCCAGCCAGCCAAGAACCTGGGGCATGTGGACATGGCGTGTTTCAGGTCAGCTGGGAGTCTAAACCCATTGGTGGCTCTGTGGCTTCCCACACTGCAAATCAGTATTCTGTCACCTTCCACCACTGTACTGTACCGGGGCCACCACCGATGTGTAGGTCTAAAGATTTTCATCTCCCAAGTGGAAACCCTGGCATAAAAATATGACACTCCTCCATCTCGCTCCCTCAGCTCTTGGCACCTGTGCATCTGTTTTCTAACTCCAAAGACGTGCCTGTGCTGGACAGCCCGTGTGAGGGCTCACAGAGTACACGGCCTTTTGTGTTCTGACTCAGGGTTCATCCGTATTATACCACATACCAACCAGCATTTCGTTCGTTTTTATCGCTGTGTGATAATCCATTGTATGGATATACCACATTGTTTATCCATTCACTATTTAATGGAATGAAAACACATTTTTTTTTTTGGTTTTTCATCTTTTAGAAATTAATATTTATTTCTATAAAAATGCCTCACTATTTATTTTATAACATTGTAACATGTTTGTCTTAGTCCAAAATGGAAATAGCCTAATAGAAAAATCCTCTACCTCTGCAATTTCTCTTTGGTGGGAAAAGATTGTTCATCTAGTAATTCGGTAAATGTTTAGTGATCACATGCTTTATGAATGTGTGTGTGTTTGTTTATTTTAGTGTCATGCACAGTGCTGGGAACTGATGATACAGACAGCCAAGAGAGGTGTGGCCCTGAACATTCTCTGGGGAGAAGGGCAGGAAACAAGTAAACGATCCCAGAGACCCTACACTGAGTGGGTGCTGGGGAAGGAGCCCAGCAGCCTCCCAGGGCAGGGAAGCGATACAGAGGAAGGGACAAGTTTTCCATAAGGCATTCAGAAAAGGTTTCTCTGGGGACGTAACAGGTTTTTTTCCTCTTCTTTTTTTAAAAAAACATTGCCAGAAGGTAGATGTGCTTGCCAGAAAGAGAACAGGAAAGTAAGAAAGCACCTCCATGGGGAATGGTCTTACCACAATCCCTTCTCATCTCTCCCTCTTTTGGGAATTTTGGGCACAGATGCATATATGCCTGGCATATTTTAAGCAAGGTCTGGGACTCAGACCACACAGCTGGCCACATGGAGTTCAGCTGCCTTAACCACCAGGCCATGGGCTGGCCGAGGAGATCACATTGATTTACGTTGGGCATTAACTGTTCTGATAATACCTTATCAGGTCCAAGCAATTCAGACTTTAATTACACTGAAGCGGGGCCTGTTGAACCCTGTTTGCTTGTGTTATATTCCACTCCACAAGAAACAAACACAAACAAACAAACAGTGGACTGTTCTGGACTGTTCTTTCTGGCTGGAACTTCTGTTGAGTAAGAATTCAAACTCACCCATCAATAATGTAATGATACTGTTACAAATTACAGAATCTTCATTCTTTTTTGTTATTGTAGTTAAAGTTGTTTTGTGTACAACTGTTGTTTTTGTTCTCTAGACATGGAGCATAATAACCCGGCCTACACGATCAGCGCTGCCTTGTGCTACGCGACGCAGCTGGTCAGCATTTTGTCTCACATACTCGACGTGAATCTTCCCAAAAAGCTGTGCAACAGGCAAGTAATCCGGAGGCCGCGTCACCTCTGCCTGATCGCTCTCTGCTGTGTTTGTGTTTGCGTTAGTTCAGCCAGAAACAAGAACTTAAGTCTTAACCAAAACAGGGAAAGGTCTGACCGTGATACTGAGATTAATTTCAAAAGCCTCATGCGCAAATCTGTCCCATTATCTCAGAGTTGCACGGAAGACGTTGAGAATACCACACAGATTGCTCTCACTTGAAAAATTAATAAAAGACAAAGCCCAGGATCTTCAGACTGTATGGCGTAGCTCCTCATGTGTGAGAACCGCATCGATTATAACACTGGAATTTTTTTGTGTGTGGTTTTTAAAAAAGATAAACCTCATATGGTTTAAAATTGAAACAAATAAATAAAGACATATAGTCTACTCAGTTCCCAAGAGACCTTGGTATACCCTAGTTATCCTTGCATTCCTGGCAAATACACACATTCTCATCCTCCCCCCTCTTAAATACAAGTGGTGGCATGCTATGCACTAAGGTGTTTTGAACTGTCTTTTAAGTTTTTACTTATCCAACAGATATTTCTTAAATCCCTGCTGTGTATGCTACACTATGGTAGGCCATAGTGTAGGTAGGTATGTTGGTGACAAAAAGGTGTAATTCCAGATTTCTTGGAGCTTATATTTTATTGGAAGGCACAAATAATGAATAAGCAGTAAGTTACGTGCTGTGGAGAAGGGCTTGCTCGGTTTGAGGGGGCAGATAGGCAGTTGTGTGCAAACGAGCAAAGGGGACAGCGGTCCACACGATCTTCAGGGAAAGA